GATAGATAAGGAGTTGGGGTTTTGCATATCAACCCCATGCGAACCTCTGCGGTACTTTTGGCATAGATAAGATCAAGAAGAAGTTATTGCGAAGGCTCGCTATGGAGTTTCAGTTGTGGTTTCGTGCAGTCGAGTACATTTCCCGCTTAATATAGTGTCTTGCAGTCGAGAAAGTGCTATAAAATTTGCGCGCGGACAATAACCACGCCTGTAATGCCAGGATTTTGCGCGCGCAAGTGGCCGGCGTCACAGGCGTAGCTATTTGTCACGCGCAAATTTTACGCACTTTCTTGGCACCGCAAGCACACTATACTGGGCGGAAATACTTGACTGTATTGCTATCCAGAAGTATCGTTTCTTGGGTGATTACCAACGAATTTTAGCGGTCTGATGGTTTCATTCTTTATGTATTTGCGTACCGAATAATTCAATCTACATCTGTCAAGATAAAAACAATGAGGGCTTTTTCCTTAGAAGCTTGGTGATATCTTGGTACGCTGAAGCCGTAGACCTAAGTTAGTGGGTAAGGGGTAAGTAAGAATGGTACCTGTTTCCCTACTTGTGATACTGTGACATCATCATTGATTTGGTTCTAATTCATGGACATAGGAGGGATGTTGCGGCGCTTTTTACATGTTCAGATCTAGTTCAGAGCTCAAGAGGAGCTTCTTTTCTTCGACTTCTCTTATTGTCCATAAATTTAGATTGACAGACTTCAAAGAGGAGGAGGTGGTGGAGGCTCCATAGGTGGTCCGGTCTATGAAGAGGTGCACTATCTAGATGTGGATGACATGGAACCGAGAATCATCATGCCACCAAGTCATCAGGGCACCATACCCAACAGCGCTCATAACCTTCATCATCGCAGACCTAGTGACGGGGGAGTCAATACCTCTCTCTTCATGTTTCTCGACACTCCTCCGATGCCTCGAGAATACTACGACATAAGACCAAATGTCCCTGTAAGTTTCAGAGTTCTTCTCTTTTTTCCTTCAAAAATTGTGTTTTCCAGGATCTTCGGAACTTCAATCTTCTTGATACATACACACTGCT